AACCTAAGCCAGTCTATCTATAGGCTTTGTCAAAAAGGAAAGCTTTAAGCCTCGTCCAGGACCTGATTGAGTCACAGTGCAACACTATCAACGATATGGGATTATTCTTAGGTCAGACTGGGTAGTTGACATGAAACACCAGTTCTTACTTGTATTCCAGGTGCAACATCCCACATGTTAGTACTGAAGCTTAGAGGAGGTCTGGCTGACCTTACAGCTTTTACAATAAATAAGAGAGATCATCGATGTCATCTACCTGAACTACGTTAGTTAAATAATAATAATATTGGAAATTCTATAATATGTGTACTTATTTTTAAGGATTAATTTTGCGTCTGCCGAGCTGTGCCACAAAAAGATTTATTAAAAAGTTTATTGCTTTTCATTGAAACCCCATCTTTTTTTGCAGGTACGGTGATTCATGTTAATGCGTCTCTTCTTTCGATTCTTTTTCAAATAAACGTGTGGAGCAGTTGGAGGTGCTGCACTGTATGAAGTGCTAGCTGATAAATTTAGCCTTTGATTTGATTAGCTGAAGTGCTTGAGGGCCTTATAGAAATAAGAAGCTAGTAAAAGCAGCTTCAGCAGGAGGGGGAGCAGTTGATTAGAATGAGCTGATATAATAAAGTCAGAAACAGTCAATTACAAAATACAGTGTCACTCATATTTCACTGCCTTATTTACCTGCTTTATTACACTAAGAAGCAATCTGACCTTTAAGGTAATAAGGGAGAATTACAGGCGAACATCAGTCGGTGCTTATTAAATCTGCTGCCTGCACTTCTGTGCTTCAGATCTGATAATGTGAGGGCGCAACCTCACTTTAAAACACCTAACAACACACAGGAGGAAACTAATGAAACACACCGAGGTGACGTCTCAGGAGACCTGACCAAACACAGCTAAACTGACCAGGAGTCGCATCGCTGCCTGCTACTGTAGAAACTTCAGCGTTGTCTGTTCAGATGGAAACATCCAGAAACTACCAGTCAGTCAATTCTAAAAGAAAAAACTAAAGTTACCAACACACACCATGGGGATTTTTCTTTTTACTGTTTTTGCTCAAGTCTGCTCCTTGAGCATGCATACCTTGGATGAGATCATGTAAATATTTGCTCATCTGTTGATCTGTCCTGAGTTATTCTATAATGGTTTGTATTTTTCTGTGTTTTTTATTGCTTTATTTCTATGCCTTGTTTGTTCTTTGTCCTTCCATGTTCCTTTTCATTTCATCAACACTTTGCATCAATTTTCACAGAACTTTGTGTAACTTTTTATGTTGCATTTGTTGCTGCCACTTGGCCATGATTACTTTGAGAAAAAGGGTTTTAATCTCAAGTTAAATAAAAAATTTTTATATAATTAAAAAATATGTATATGCTCATAGGAAAGATATTATGTACACTATAAAATATCTTTCACTAAGTGAATGATGTTGCATAAATAAACTTTTCAATAACATTCTAATTTATTTAAAATGACTGTATAATCATTTGACGCCACAAATATAATTTCTACTGAAAGGAAGTCGCTGTTTATATTTACGCTGTTTCTCTATAATTAAGACACTGTTCCCATGTGGAGCCTACTGAGACGCTGATGGGTTAAATGAGCCGTTTGGTTTTGCTCAGCTCTCCTCAGATCTCTGCCTCCAGCCCACGTCAGACTGTGACTCCAACCCGAAACATCTCCTTCTTACTGAAGGAGCTCGACGCCATGAGGGAACTTAACAACAAGGTCAGAAGACGCCCTGCTTTCATTCTAGCAGTTCTCCTGCAGACTGTGTCCATCAGCTACCATTAGATGGGACACGTCTAGCCTTTCCTTTGATCCCCAGGTCAAAGGTTAGAGCTTGTGGGGAAGATTTTGTATTTGGTCACATAACTGACTTTAGGCCTCAATTGGCTGCTAAACTGTTAGAGTGAATTCCTCTGAAGCGCTCTAATTCAGAAACTTTTTATCAGCTTCAAGTGCAGATGGTTCAGAAAGAGAAGGAGCTGCTGCAGAGAGAGGTGGACGAAGAGCTGAAGGAGCAGCAGCGAGAGGCCCGACACTGGGAGAGACCCATGGGTAAGGAGGGGGAGGTCAGCTGGGTTTACACACCTGGGTCAGAACAGTCCTGGGTTTTTCATTAGAATTTAGGTTTAGCTTTTATTAGTTATAGTAGTAGTTTTAGTTTTTCTGTACTTTGGCAGCCCCAGTAGAGCCCAATACAGAGAATCACTTCACCAGTTCATATCTCTGACGTTAACATTACTGAAGAGCCCTGAACACAACAAAACCCAAGTCCTGTAACTTTTCCTTGTGTCGTCAATTCAGATGGTTGCTTTGTCTCCAGATCGTCTTATCAAGCTCTGCTGAGATGTTCATTTCACCTTGGTGTGTAAAATCTTACACAGGCAGAACACAGGCTCCCCCGAGCTGAAGGGAGGGAGCCTGACTGAAATTAGAAAATCTAAAAATTATATTCAGTTAGATTTGTTTTCTGAAATAAGAGCTGCAGTCTGAGACGGGTCCTGGTAGAAGCCCACACAGAACCCTTCAATAACCAGCAGAGTCTCCTGGCTCTCAGTCTCAGATGAGCTGTGGTCATTTCTGTGTTATTACTGCTGAAACACACACACACACACACACACACCATGTAGCAATAAGGATTTCTGCACTGATTGGCCGGTCACCTTGAGGAATACCCAGTTCCTTTAGTTTCTACACAGTTCACCCAAGCTGATCTCTTCGTCTCTTCGGTTTCTTTACATTTTCAGTAAAATGATTTTGAAAGGAAATATTTTTGCAGCTTTGTTTTTGCTAAAACCAGGATTTCTGACTGGTTCTTGTCTCATTGTTTTTTCAGAGGTGCTGGAGGAGATGTTGGCAGCTCAAAAGGACCGAGACCAGGCTCTGATGTCACGACTACTGCTGGCCAATGAGGAGAGAGATGAAGCTTTACTCCGTGCCCGCCGACTGCAGGAGGCTGCTGGGTATGAGTCCAACAGTTCTTGAAATACTGATAGCTATAATACACAGTATTTTTTCATGTAAGTGGTCATGAAGTCGTCATGAATGTTCTATTTATTTTCCCCCAGACTGCCAATGTGCAATATGTGTAAATAATATTTGTGGTGTTCTTTTACATAAATGTAGGTCAGCTGTAGAAGTGGTTTATTTGCTGAAATCTTAAGACAAACAAAAGCATCATTCTTAGCACACATCAATATCATATTTAGATCGTGGTGGTCTTGTTAAGATGAATTAAAATCTAAATCTACCTGCGGTATGAATAATTCTGGGCTTACCTGTTTACACACTGCTACTGGTAGACCACATTGCTGTCTTTTCTTTTTCTTTGCCCAGCCAGAAAATATGAACTAGAACATTATGAAACTCCCTGCAGTTTAAATGAATGCTAATTGTGACCAAAGTAAATGAAATCCTCATTTAACATTGGTCCTTTGCACTCTAAATATGAATAGTGTTTTTATATAAACTTACAGTTTTAGGAAAACTCTATTGAGGTTTTACACTTGGTTCTTTCCTCACCATGGATATGTTTCTTATTTTTAGATGGACTGAAATAGAGCTGATCTTACCATGAACAAACTTTCTTTAATATTCCTAGTGAGTAATGTCTGTCGCCCGCTGAAGTTTGTGACATTTTGTTCTCATCATTTATCCTCTCAGCTTCATGTAACACATTTGGATCAATAAGACGCATCTCATTCATTGTCAGTTTGGTAGCATAACTTATTTTATCAGGCTGTCATAAACAGTTGTAGTAAGTTGGCAACATGCTAGCTAGTGTTAAAAAGGTAAGACAATGATGGGTAACCATGGCAGCCAGTGACAGCTTTCTGCAGTCAGGTTGCGTACTCAAAAATAATCCCTCTATACGGACTTGATGGTTGGTAGACTTCTGTTTAGGTTGCAGAACTGATGAACCAAATGAAGCAGCTTTGACAAATTGACACTGTAGAGTAAGAGTGAGTCATTCTGAGGAGAGCTTAGCTCCTAGTTCAGCACACTCTGGTCATTTTCGGCATCGGAAAGCCACCACGGTGTGTTTTCTAAGACCTCCATGTTTGTTTGATGTTGTTCCAGTGACCCGTCTGTAGACCAGCAGTTTCTCTGAGGAAGGCCTGTCGTTTTCATTTATTTACATGGGAAACATGTTTAGCATCTGCTGAAGAAGGATCACAAGCCGCCACCACTCTCCTCTTCCTCCCCCCTTCATTATGCACCTCCTCACTCTGGTTTGAGGGCTGTGAAATGAGCTCTTGTCTTCTTCAAGCAGCAGCCAAATAGACCAGAAAATCTAATTAGAATTAAACCCCCTCTTCCTAGTTCTTCTTCCTTTGCCTCAAACACACCCACCCTCACACCCCCAGAGTGAGAGGGTAATTGATATTGGAGGCCACAGTCCTTTTTTATGAGGACAGAATATGGAGGAGCATGTTCCATCTGTCAGGACTCGGAGTGTGTGTCAGTTTTGTTGGTGTGTGTGTGTGTTTTCCTGTGGCAGGAGGAAGCCTTGAATACCTCAGTGAGTGTGTTGCAGTGTGCCACTTCATGTTGTTGTGTGTTAGTGTTTGGGCATTAGCATGTGTGTTTTGCTGATGGAGGAGGTGACCTCAGTGAATGTGTGTTTCATGTCCGTGTGAATAAAGCGAGGCGGTGTTTCTTTTTCTCCTAAGTTCCTGGCTGACAGTTTGTTGGACAGTCGCTCAGCCGCTGTCATTATTTTAGGATTCTTTGGCCCAAAAAACTCAGACAGCCAGAGATGTTTATAGACCATCACGCTAATGAGCATCTGCCTAGTTGTTTCATTCACCGACAGCCACATGGAATCACAGGACTGGGTCAGAGGTCGCTGGGGTGCACCGATGACCCCATCTGTCTACTGACCTCCAGACTTCATGTGATCTTCAGATTAGAGCACCATCAGCAGGCAAGGTGGGTGAAATTCCTTGCCTGAGGACACAATGACAAAAGGACTGGGCAGGGACTGAAACCGGCGACCCACCGATTTCAGGAAGAACTCCTACCTCTGTTCCCACCGTACCACCCATTAACCAGAGACGCATTATGGCAGATGCCTGTTCCAGTGGCACCTGCCATCGTGGAACGCCGCATGAATAGAGTCTGGATTGTCTTGAGTGTGGTGTTTTCACTGCAAGCCGGCAATCCCTTGATGACCAGAGTGAAAAGCAGAGTCATAACGTCTTTGCAAGCCCATTGAAGTAGACTTGAATTGCCTGGTGATGAAATGACATCAGACCTGGATAGCGCTTTTCAGGATGCTTTTCATAAAGTCAGTTTTTTCCATTCACCCACACATTCACTTTCTGATGATGCCACAGCTACCCTGTCATATCACGCCATCCACCCTTCTGACCAACACCAATGGTAGCCAGTGGAGCTGAACGACCAGAGGGATGACGTCCTCTGCTATGCTGGTTGAAGAACGAGGCAGATGCACCCTGGTGAGGAAAGAAAGAAATCAGACTGTAAGAAGCCCAGCGCTCTGCACAGCTGATGCACACAGCCTGCTCCACTCCTATCTGTCACACATCCCAGAAGATTTGCACTTGACTCACCCTGTGGTTACAACAAGCGACAAGATGGAGCTGGAAGATGTTACACAAAAGCTAAAAACAACAAAACATTTGTTATACACATTTTCACATGTATAAAGTGTGAGTGACACATTGTTTTACTACTAAGCCAGCAGAGTATGAAGTCAGAGGTCTGGAAATACTTTAAACTGATAGCAGTTACTTCAGGTTTGGGCTTCCTGTCCTGTTAACTGGTCAGGTCGGATTGGATCGGACTTTGACACAGTGTCTATGGGCTCGGATTGGGTTGGAATTTTTATGCCCGATCTAAGGTGGACCAACAAAAGTTACAGATTTAAATCTCTTGAAGGTATGTCTATCAACTTTAATCTGCAAGTGACTGATTTATTTTTTTTAAAGGTTATTTTTTAGGCCATTTTAACACGCTGATATGCTTTGATCTAAACCTCTTTGTTACAGTATTCCTTCTCCACGGCATGATGCTGCCACCATCATATGTTACTGTGGGGAAAGTGAGTCCGTAGGAATGTGCAGTGTTGGGTTTTCTCCCCACACACATCATTTTGCATTAAGGCCAAAACGTTCTCCCACATAACTTTAAACAAAGTTATGTTTAAAGCCTCGGAGGCTCTGCGTTTGTTTGCATACATGTCTAACATTCTGCTGCAGGTTTGTTCACACTCTGACATGACATCCTTCAAACCTCTGCGCTTAAAATCACTTTCATGTTGCAATTCATGCCTTGAAAAAGAGGTTTTTAATCTCAGTTGGTTTTTTTTTTATCCTGGTAAAATAAAGGTTAAAAATATAAAAATGTTCTTAGACCAGAGCTTGGACCTGACAAAAATCCCTCTCAGTAAAAACAAAGTTCTGTCAAATAAAGCGCCCCCATATGGACTTACAGAGTAGCAATATGGGGTTACCCTTCAACCATCTTTCAAGTTATGGAACAAGACAAGAACTTCTTTCAGATTCCTGGAAAGAGCAAACTCCTTCAGATGAAATGAAGGATTTCCAAGAAAAGCAGCCACATCACGTTAGATTCTGTCTCTGCGAAGGAGACAACTTGTAAAACTTTGTCAAAGGAACAAATGCAGACTGATGGTATTCTCTCTTGGATGTGCTCCCACTAATGGCTGCTCGCGGCGTGCCTGAGTGAAGGTGTGTGGGAGTGGTAATGAAGACGGCCGAGCGAGCGAGCGAGCCAAGCCGAGCCGGGCTGAGCCAGGCTGGATGGGGGGCTGTAAGCAGGGTGTTAGTGGAGCTTTATTGGAGTTGGCCGGTCTTTCATTATCTGCTGTTCCCTGCAGAGCGGAGCCGCCTCGACCACCTTATTACAGTTTATTACAGCAAAACAGCAGCAGACTAAATGAAAAGAACTTCCCAGGAGGAGAGACAGAAGATCAGGTAGTTACTACTAGCTGCACGTCCTCCGTCAAGACTCCTGTCAGGAGGAGGAAGAATCCGAGAACAGCAGAGAGGAGAGCGGTCCGTTCCAGGGAAGCCTCCACTGCTTCAAAATGAATTCAAAATGACAGATTTTAACACGGACTTTAGGGATCACAGGACAAAATTATTGCACAGCTGCTGCATGGCGCTCAGGTAATCTAACAGGCGGTCGCCGTGGTCACTGGTAGGAACACAGACACCAGGAACCTTTGTAGGACCTCAGTAATTGACTACAGGGCACCAAGTTACACCTTTTATTTGTCATTCACAATATACATATTAGCATGGCTTGCATTGCTTTGGCTGGAACTTTTGAAATAAGCTGAATAGTCTGAAGAGCAAACACTGGAGGACGGTTCATGCAGAGTAACAGGAAGAGCAAACGTGTTCTGTAGGTTAAATATATAGACAAGTCAAACACCAGGGTGACGCCTCTTCTAAAAGTATTCATATCACTTCAGTATTTCCACATTTTGTTACTTACCTGCCACTGATGTTTATGGATTTTAGAAGTGATCAAAATAGTGGTTGATAGCCAACTGCTGAGTGAAAGGGTTACTCATCCTAATACTTTGATGCAAAACTTTCTTTTTTGCTGAAATCTCAACTCAGTTAAAACAAGTTTTGTTGTTTACAAGTGGTAGTTCTGGACTTTGACTGGGCCATTCCAACAAACAAGTTTGCTTCTCTCCCAAGCCTTCCACCCCCAATGTTAGCTCTGTCTGCTTAAAGTCTGACCAGCTTCTCTGTCCCTGCAGCAATGAAGCTCCACAGCATGATGCTGCCACCTCCGTACTTTATAACTTCTCTCTTTTCCCTCTAAATGTCATAAGGTTTCGTCAGAGCACAGGGCATGATGTCTCCAGGAATGAAGCTCTTTGCAAACTTCATTCTGACTTCTTATGTTGCCTCACTGAGTGGCACAGGATTACTTTCATTGGATAGTAACTCTCTGCCACACTTCAACAGCATTTTCTTCAGGTCTCTATCTGAGACTCTATCTGAGTTTCCAACGCAGTGAGCAGTCTTCCCCATGACTACCACACTTGGTTCCTTCAGACTAGCCAGCAGAAAGTAGCGAACTGCTGGAAATACAACCTCTGCTGAGCTCATTACGAGCTACTTCTCATCGCAACGCTGGTAAAACGTTGTTAAAGGGTTAATAGAGGAGCCACGTTGTGATGACTTCATGAAGGTGGAGTTTCAGAAAGAGCAGGAGCTTCTTAAAGAGACAGAGGGCCAGTTTTAAGGCATTAAGTTATAGAATCATATTTGATATATAGCATTTTTATTACAACTAAAAGTAACATAGTTGATTATAATATAAAATGCCACTATGTGCCTATAAAATACATAATGCTGCCCGTTTACAGGGGAGTTTTTCCTCTGTACCGTTGTTATATGCATGCTTGTTATGAGGGACTGCTGTTAAATCAGCAACACAAAGCAAGTGTTTGTTTTAAGTCGTTACTCGTTCGTCCAGGAGGAGTGAGTCCTGCAGGTCAGTGACTCGATGCTCTGCTGAGTTTCCTTAGATTTTAAACTCACTTGAATGATAAACTGAGGCTAATCTGCTGCTTGATGGCATCAGTTGCAATAAATGTGTGATTGAACTGAAATTATTTTTGTAACGTGCATTGAGATGACATTTGTAGTGAAATGGCATCATATAAACAAACTGAATTGGAAAAAAAGTGATTAGAAGTCCCATTGTCTTTGTACCTTGGACGTCTGTGCTTAAGATAAAACTATTTTACACAGATGTTTTAGACATGGTAGATGGCGACAGACCAGCTTTAGATTCTCCACAAACAGATTATCTGCTCTTTTGTTTTCAGGTCGGATGATATCAGCCTGCAGGACGTTGACATGGTGAGCTGACTCAGCACATTTACAAACCAATGTTTGGTTTATTCTGGAACTGATGACCGGACCAGGTTCAACCTGATTGTTTCTGATTCTCAGGACATCAAAGATCTCCTTGAGCATGTCTGCGAAGCCGACTCAGTCCAGGAAGTGAGGCAATTCGGCTCAGCTCTAGTTCAGCGCGTACGGCTAGCACAACAGCGAAGGAGTGACATCACTGCTCAGGAGATGAAGGCCGTGATCGAGGAGAGAGACAAATCTGTAGACAAGGTGAGTTTACACCTAAACAGATCAAACATCAGTTTGATTTCTTTATTTTTTTTATCCTGACAAATTTCCAGCTAAATTTTGAACTGCCTTTGCAGCAAAAACAGTTCAGAAAAACATTTTAAGATAAAACCCTATTTGTTAGGTTTTCTTCTTTCATTGCTACTTTCATCAATATTTGTTGAATGTTACATTTAGAGCAGGGGTGTCCAAAGTCAGTCCTGGAGGGCCGGCATCCTGCATGCTTTAGTTCTCTCCCTGGTGGTAGTAACAACCTTTTCAGCTTGTCAATGAAAAGGTTGACAAGCATCATGTAACGATGAAAGCATCATGTAACGATGACTCATTACATGATGACCTTGTAACGAGTCATCATTTATCCAGGTGCATTAAACCAGGGAGAGAACTAAAACATGCAGGATGCCGGCCCTCTAGGACCGACTTTGGGCACCCCTGATCTAGAGTGATGGTGGTTTTTAGTTGAACCGTAGATGGTCATGTCTAAGCTTAAGCAGGTTCCAGAGAGGCTGTGAGAGAGATCCAAGATGGGTAGCTAGGATGTTAGTCAATGGTGAGGTAAATGTGTTCAAAGTGTGGAATGGTATACATCAGGGATCAGCTCTGAGCCTCTTGTTGTAGTTAACAGTGCTGATAAACAGGCTAACAGATAAGGTCAGACAGAAGGGCCAGTGATGTTCACAACAGCAACAGGCGAGAGAGGAAGAAGAGAGAGCAGGCAGGATGAAGAGATCGGAGACGAGTGGCAGGAGAAATGCATTAAAGGAGTAGCTGCAAGGAGGAAAAGAGATGTTAGCATGTTAGCAGGAAAGGAGTGAAACCTGCTGGAGTGGATGTTTAAAGATGATGGACCTAATAATAAGAAAGAACTGAAGTTGGTAGAGCTGTTAATGTTTGTTGGGGGGTTTTTTTCTAAGGAACTAAATGCTATAGCATTAGGAATAAATACTGTGTCCTGAGGGACAGATCAGGTCGTTCTGGGATTAATAAAAGGAAAAGGTTTCAGAGGGATGTGAGACAGAGAAGGATGCCAGCGATGGAGGCTGATAATCTGCTGTGGCGCCCCCTAAAGGAGCCGCCCAGAGAGGCAGATGGTTATAAATTTGATTAGTTCAAGCTGTCAAATCTCTGAAAATATTCAACAATCTTTACAAAAATGATCAATTTCCACCACTTACAGATTTTTATTAAGATAATAAAAATTTATAAAGCTCAATAAAGAGGGTTTAATCCTCTATCACATCTTATTCAGTCCATGTTTACACAGCAAGATAATGACGGAATGGATTTTTTTTTTTGGCTTAAAATTTTGAGGCAGCCCTCTCACACATTTGTCCAGATTGAAACAGTAACCTGACCTTTGGAGTGCAGAGAAGAGCTCACATAAAATAACAGCAAAAACAGCAGGTTCTAGAGAGGCTAACAGGGTTCAGTAGCAAAGCAAAGACCTGGAGGTTTTTCACATCCATAAATATTTTTAATAAAAATTTGTTGCTGCAGCAGGTTGATCTGCTGGCCCCATTGGCCTCCATGTGTCATGTGTCTCTGCTTCAACACATTAGTCCCATGAGTGCATACCAATAGCGATGCATCAATAAGCTATTTTTCCTCCTCTTTTTTTGTCAATTTCCAATTTGTGGAACTTTAACTTAAAATGATTTTAACTACAGGTTTTCCTACAAAGTAATTTTTTTACAGCAGTCTGCTTAGTACACTATTGATGTCATAATTTGGTTATTTTTAGAAACATTTGATAATATTGTTACCACTAATAAAGTAAGGAGAGCAAATCTGTCCTGTATTGCATGACTTGTGTCTCCTCTGGATATTAACCAGACACACTGTGAGTGTGTAGCATAGTTAGCTCAAACAGAATGAAGTAGAAAAACGTCTTCCATCAGTGACAGAACACCTGGATGTAGGAGGCGTGACGTCATGTAGAACCATTTAATCTGATCTTTTCTCTCCTCATAATCTGTGCTTCTATGGTCTAATGCTGCAGACCGTTAGTATTAGACCTTTACCATTGTCTAGTAAGGGAGTAGAGTGTTATAATGGGATCCTTCTGTGTCTCACGATCAAAACCATTTTTACGTGCAATTATATCACTTATTTTTCCAGAGGTTATACTTTGATATGTGAACATTTATTAAGAAAACACAAAATATTTAATGAGGTTGCCATTTGTACACACACTCATGCATTAATGGAATATAAGAAATAATATATCCTGATTGCTTCAAAACTCAATCACTTAAAGATGGATCTAATAATCAATCTAAATGCTAAACTTTATTATTGATCCCTTATTTGCCAGCAGAGACATGTCCCACATTTTCTTGTATGTGGTTTCCTATTTATTTATAAGTTTCTAGCTACAATTTTCATTCTTACTTTAAAGTAGAAAATCCACATTTTCTCTCTCCCCCAACCCCCATCTCTCCTCTGGAGGCTGATTATGATCAAAGTTCAATTCACAGAGTTTATTACCAAAACCTGCAGAGTGTTGGATTTATTACCCACAATTTATATACTGCTCTCTGTGGGGGTGGGGTTGAAATCAGTAGAAATGAAAAGAGATGAGTCTGGCTGTTGGTGGGATATGAGCGAAATAGAGTTGGCCAGTTGAACATGGAGATTGGTTGTGCTCCCAGCATGCTCTGCGGCAGGTGGTGGGCTCAGAAGCCCCGCCTCTGATATTTTTCCAGATGAAAAAAAAAAAAGGAATCAGATCAGGAGCCTTCATCTGTTTCCTTGCTGTGACTGACAGAGTGCGGTAGCCATGGTTACCTAAACTGCTCTAGCATCGCCAAACAGCGGTGGTAACCAAAGCAACTGGCTTCAAAAGAGAATGGGAGGGACTGAAAAGAGAAATGAGAAAGTTCTTCCTGGAAAACATAAAAGCTGAAACTCGTTTCCATAGAGGAGCACCACTGTACCTGCAGCTACACATCAGTGGAGTTCAGATATGTTTAAAATAAATAGATGACTCTTTAACATCCATGACATTATTGTGTATTGTCCAAACACATAGTGGTATTTTATAACATAATCAAGAAACTTTGTTACCATCAGTTATCAAAATGCTGCATATATCAAATATGACTTAAAATAAACTTCACTTCCTAATTTAACACCTTGAATTTGGGTCTCTGTCTCTTTAAGAAGCTCTTGCTCTTTCTGAAACTCAACCTTCAGGAAGTCATCACATCATCACTCCTCTATTAACTCTTTTACAATGTTTTTTTAATGGAAAGGATCATCACCCGCAACTCAGAAACTGCTCTTGGTGAAGATTGATTAATAGAAAATAACTGAGGTGTATGTTTTATATTCATCTAACTCCTCTAATATTCATGGTCCATTAAAATACATAGTGCATTCCAGTTCATGGTTATGTCGTAAAGGACATACTTACACTTGTATGTCCTTGGCAGACCACATCACGGTCTGGTTTTCTTTTAACCCACATAAAACCCCAGAGAATTAAAACTGTTCAACAACCTGTTCCTTCAGAAAATGGATAACAGAGAAGGTCTTTACAAGATTGTTTTAATTAAACTGTCTTGTAAAGACTGTTTAGTGTGTCCAGTAGTTCACTACTGGACACACTGGAGAACAACACGGATTTTGACATTGAGAGGAGAGTGGACATTATTACAACACACAGCACTTTTGCAGGGATGTTGTGATACAAGCTGGGACTGCATGCTGCTTTCCAAATAATAAGACCTGGATCACCCTCAAGGAGCTCCTCAGTCAGAAAAAGCAGGCATTTAAGGAGGGGGACCAGGAGTAGTTGAGGTGTGTCTAACATGACCTAAAGAAGAGACTGAAGCAGGTGATGCTGTAAAAGAACGGTGGAGAGTAATTTGCAGCAAACACTAGAGAGTAATGAGGAACATCACTGGTTAGACGAGCAAGATTGAGGGGGATGTAGACTTCCTATACCACTCAGAAGTAACACTCATACAACTTATTTACTACACTTTGTCTTGTTCAATGCGCTGCAGTCAATGCTGAAGGCCACTGACTTCAGTCTAAATTGGTCTGATGGGACAGCCACAGCCCTGTCTGTCGGTACCTCTCACTACTCACACCACTCCTACTGGCTGAGGCGTTTATTCCAGTTTACTGCTGGCCAACCACCACACTGATACTGCAGCTGACCCACCCATCACATCTTATTATCCTACTGTAGGACATTACCCTTTGTGGTGACGGCGGTTGGAGTTTGCCCTCCAATCGGTGGGTTGGCATTTCAATTCCCGCTCTGTTTGCCTAATTCATTGCATCCTTGGCCAAGACGCTTCACCTGCCTTACCTGCTGGTGTTCTGTCAGTTTTAGATATAGTAATACGAGAATGTGTGGAGCATTGACATGTAGAATCCGTACCAGATCCTACACCTTGTAGCACCTTCATGTGGAAATACTTCATTTGCATATAAAAGACAGTAGTCTTCTAGCTGAAGTTGTATGGTTGTGTTAGACGGACTGTAGAACCTTTGACTTGTCCCTCATCAGCACATGTGGCCTTACATTTTAACCTCTTTCTGATGCCTGCCTCCTTGAAGCTGTACCTCAGTGTATCAACTTCCATCACTATCAGTGACCCCCGCCAATAACACTGCTTCGCCGTCTTTTAACAACTATCCCTATTACGTTAACACCACCCCTCAATGGTAACACCTTAATCCCGCCTTCATTCCAGCGCTGCACCACAGTGAAATATGTTTCAAATGCTGCCATAATCCTCAGAGAAGAAGAAGAAAGAGCACTCCACGTTGGAGGATTCCACCCCTCCCCATGCCTCTCCACCCCTTGTTGCTCGCCGATTCCTCATTCCCTCCTTTCATCTCTCAGGGATTATCTCCCTCAGCAGCTGGGGGTTCTGGGAAATATTAGAAAGAGGGGGAGGGTTCTTCCTGAGCACTCCAACCCGCACGCCAGCTGGAGCTTCCTGCTCCTTATTGAATTGATATCAAGTAATTACAGGTTATCAGAACTCATCAAACCTCACCTGGAGCTGCTGACCACCTCACTCCCTGACAAGACCCCCAAAAAGAAGCCTGTTGGTTTGATGCCCACGCAACTGCCCCGAGTGACCCAAAGAGCAGAAACAGCTGGAGTTGCTTGTTGACAGGCGCATGAGACACTGGAGCACTTTATTCCAGTTTTTAATTAACTTTTATTAGCCGAAATGCAGCAAAAGAGAATAAATCCACAAATTACTTTTTTAAAACTTCAATAGCTTGCTTAAGTTCAATAACTCTGAAGATGATTAAGAACATCCCGATGAAGGCTGAGCTGCGGCTCTTTGTCAACCTGTCTGCGATACTTAGAAGGAACCCAGGGCTGTTCTTGTTCACCCCGATTAATAATGAATCTCTTCTAATGTCACACTCTAAGCTGAAAAACTTCTCCTTTTTGTCTCTAAATGAGAGAAGTGACAGTGGATTTACCTAAGTCTAATAGCCTCATTTTTTTTTACACCAGAACACTAATGTAATACTGATGCATGCTGGGAAATCTTGCGCTCGGTGTCGATATGACATGATGATGATCCCTTAGTAGGTGGAATGTGAAACTAAAGTCCAACAATTTAGCAATCTAAGTGTGATTCATTTTTTCTGGTAACTTTTTCCAACAGTGGTCTAATTATTCACACAATTTGTGGTGGAATAAATGTAATTTTTTTTTTCCAAAATTGCTCAGCAGACCTGACCCGGAGGTCACATATTTCTATCATTATTTGGACATTTTATTGACACCAATTCATCCACCAAACTTTATCCTTACCAGTGTAAGCCTGTTCAGTACTATCCTGGTAAAAACCAACCCTTGTTCAAAGCTGTGTTTCATACAGAGGATCTGGACCCTCAGCTGTTCAGAAACGATTACTAGCTGGAGGCATGAACTCTGTAGAAATTTTAAGTGATTGGATCTGATTTTATCCAATTGCTAACGTTTGGTCGTGGTGCATATAAAGTTCCAGCTACACTATGAAGCTTACCAGAAATTCCCTGCGCTGCAAACAACCGCCCCCAACACGAAGACAGGAGTGCCGAGCCGTATGTCATCTTTGCCAGCAGTAAAATGTCTTCTACATTCATCTTATCTGACTTCATTGCCCACAAACTGAACTGCTTTGTTCACTTCCTCTGCTGCCAATGCAAAAACTACAATTCTAAAACAGTGCAGAAAATCAACATTGTTCCCAGCTTCTTCTTCTTCTGATTACTGATTGGCCAGGTTGAAATTCTACAGAAGAAATCGAGGTCAAAAGGAGAACTCCCAGATGGAGCATTGAAGGAAATGAGAATCTAGCAGAATCGCATAAGGCAACTGCCAGGCTACTTCAGTGCACGTCTGTGCTAGTTTGTGGCTGTTTCTGCCTATATATATATCAAATACATAGTTTCCTATGTATCTGATACAGTTGCATGCACTTTTTTATCTCCACGTAGGCCGAGCTGCTTTTGAGTTTTTGGGCATGTCAAAAAATTCTGTGCACAGACCATTGCAGTCCTGATACACCATACGTCTTTTTACACAGCGACCTGCAGCTCAGCAAGTTCGGCTGATGTGGAGACGCACAGTGACCGCTCTCATACTGTCAGAAATCTCCCTGTGCCACACCAAGATGGATAGTTATCAAAATGGCTCTTCACAATTATGAGACTGTATTTTGTGTTGTGAAATTATTATTGTTAATATGGCAATTTAGAATATTTTTAACATTTTTTTTTATCTTTTGTGGAAGTCTATATATCTTTGCTCCCACTTTTCTTGCCTCCTAAAAGCACTTTGTTTCTATAATTAAAGGTTTAAATCTAAACCACAGAGGTTAATGAAGAAAAGTTTCAAACCATTCTGATCTAGGCCTCAAAAAGAAACTACTTAAATATTCTCAGAGGAGAACACTGCGAGATCTCCTGCTGAACCTGAAGTGGGCGGCCATGAGTCAGTGAAAGGAAATACAGACTGCTGCAGCAGAGCCATCGTGTCCACAGATATCACAATCTATAATGACTGCTTTGAAGGATATATTAATTTTCCTTTGAGATTAATAAAGTATTTTTTCAATAATAAAAAGTTTGTGTATGATTGATTTTCTATAAGAAATGTGTGGAGTTGTAAATTTAGCCGGCTTTATAAATCTGGTTAGTGAAGTAGTAAGATAAACTATCTTTAACAAAAACTTTGATAACGCCTCAAGAAACTACAAGTTGGAAAAACTCAAGTCAAAACAGTGAAATACATATAAGGCAAACATGATTTGTCTGGAAGGAAGAAAGAGGTTTATTCTATCTACATGTCATAGTGCAGGAAGCTTTTATCCACAGTCTCCACCTTATCACTTGGAAATAAAGTCTTAAGAACAAAACCAATGATGTCATATTTCCTTTGTTTCCCCTCTTAATGTGTAAAATGAGCATTTTCATGGTCGACTGTTCATTTTTAACCTTATAGTATTGGTCAGACGAGTAAAACCGGGCTGATATGAATAACAGTTGTTTATTTCCATGTTGCTTGTTGTGTGTTTGTGAGTCGACCATATGGTGTTTGTTTGCTCATGTGACGGCAATAGTGATGCAGCGGAAGATTGTGGCGCGTCGAAAGAATATAGGAAAAAAACGATCGATCAATCGGTTGGCCCTAACATCAATGTTGATATTGGTTATCAATATTGGCCCAGATCTTCATACCCATGCATCCCTTCTTCTAACTTCCATTTCTAATCCAGTGACATGAGTTAATAGCTAATGAAGCGCTGACTCCTCCTTCTGTGTCTCTGCAGTGTAAATGGCTGAAGGAAGACCTGCTTCAGAACGACCAGTCATTCAGCCAGGTAAACGACTACTGATGATAATTTCAATGTCCCTGTCATCTGTTCATCATCCATCCATTATTATTATTATCCATTCATGACTCCATTCTTGTCTTCTTCCATCCATTCATACATTTGCTCCAACACCACTGTAGAAATATGTCCATATTAGGGATGGGACTCGATTAAAATTTTTTAATTGAGTTAATTAATGTAACCAAACATATTATTTTGTTTAGATAAACTATGTATTGACTAAATAAGCAATATTTTAAATTTAACTCCCCTTTTTGCTGCTTAATAATGTAATAAATAGACATTTATTCAATTATTATTCAGATAACTGATCTTTTGCTCAACAACAAAGATCAGTTATTTAGGTTCTTCGCCCATCAGATTGATGCAAAGTGTTCTAGTCATTCAGTTTTCCAGTGTTTCAGGAACTCCTGATCATTCCTGGAGCTTCTTCAGAAATATGAACTTTAGACGCTGACATTAGCATCTACACTTGCTAAACATGTGTTGCTGCTACATGCTTAGCATTGAGATGCTAGTTTAGGCTTGACTAGCTTCACTTACAGGCTAACTCCTTTTAGCACAACTTAAACACAGCATTAGTCTTTCCCGGGGTCCCATCAGTTCGTTTGATGAAGTGAAAGTTGATGCCCAGAGGGCCAAGAGAAGCAGCTTCGTCGTCCATCGCTGCTATTAGCGGACGTGGGTTTTGCGTCAGATTTATGGGCGTACCAGAAATGCACAAATACAAAGGTTCTGGCCAGGTTCATGTGTAAAAACATGTAAATGTGAATAATGGCGTTAACATTTTTATTGAGTTAAAGTGTTTAGTTAACTTATTGACACATTAAGTCCTGGCCCCAGTCCGTAGTAAACCTCTGTGTTCTCACATAAAAATGGATGAAAAATGGATTGTGAATTACAGAAAGTATGGATTTAACTTTTTTATGAAAAAAGTGAAGGAATCGTTTTCCCTGGTTACCTTCTGCACACTTGCCAAATACTCGTCCAATCAGCGAGATTAGATGAAATTCTGTAGGAACATTTTTCACAAAGTTTTGTATTGGACCATCTGAGAGAAAACTGGGATATGAGTATCTATAGCATGTTAAGTCCTCCCTTCATATGCAGATGAAATGGAAAAAGTATGTAAAATCCTTCGGTTGAAACTGTTCACTCTTTGAAAACTTTGAATCAGCTCCAGTTTGTCGATCACTTTCTGTGTTTCCTGAGCAGAGAACTTCTTCCTCATCCTGGCTAACATGCATAGGTTCCTGCTTAAACCCTGCACCTGTCTGTGCTTAAGGCTTAAAGCTTACACTTAAATCAAGACTAAAACACTGTAAAGAAAACAAAAAAAAATCTCATACAAGAGGAGAAGAATGAAATTTTCATGCTAACAAATATGCTCCTTTATCTCTGCCTGCATCTCTTTTTTCCCTGAAATAAATTAAATTTTGTTATTAATGTATCGCTGCTCTGTGTATCCTCCTCAAGCCTGTTAATTAGGCTGGGCTCTGGGGGGATTAGAACCGGGAGAGCATTTTAATTTCACACAGAAACATCAGCAGCTGCCATCAAATTAACGCCAGACACTCAGTGAGCTGCTGAAATCCTGCAGCCCAAATCACAAACCACAATTCCTGGCTGAACTTTTAAATCAGGCCTTTGAACCGACTTGAACCTAAAGTTTCAAATCAAACTAAAGGATGCAGCACAATTTACCGTGACCTTCTAACGGTATGTGTCGATACCAGACCCGGACCACATTCCTGAAATGTTACAGAGTACAGCTTGTGACCATTATTTAGGAGTACTTGAGCAGAGACGCCTTTAAAAGTTGCAGGACGTGATGTAACCTGAATGCCACTGTGGCCTCAACTGAAACTCTGTTTTTGTGCGACAAATTGAGGAATTTGTTGAGGAACACTTCTTGCTCCCGATTAGGAATAGTCAGCCGAGTTTATTTATGCAGAGCATCATCACTCTGAGGACATGAGAGGAAAGCTGGGCTTAAATGAACACAAATATTTAAGTTTAGCTCAAATAGAACCTACAATTTAAATTAAACACGGAGAAGCAGCATTTAGCTTCTATGCACCACAAATCTGGAACAAACTTCCAAACAGCAAAACAGCTGAAACACTGAATTCCTTTAAATGGAGGCTAAAACCCACCTTCTGAACCATTATTGGTTGAAACTGGTTGGTTGACCAAAGTGCTCTGACTGCAGTGTGGATGGTCCATACTTGGATTTCACCCCGAGAGAAAACAGAGATTCAGAGCAGTGATTGGAGAACTGGTTGTTATAGGATCCATTTTACTGGCGATGTTCAGGAATCTGAAGGCACCATTTTGGATGAGCTGCCACTTGCCTACCTGATTTTTTTTTTAAGTTAAAGACTAGTACACATGACAGACCTTGTTTCTATAATCTAATCTACTAAAAATAAAAGCATGTGGTAGTTATTTTGTGCTCTGTTTTGACAGGAAACCCTTTATTCACACAGTGTTTTAAGAAGATGATAAATTGATTTAGTATGTTTTTTGTGTTGGTTAAGCACTGTGGTGTCATACATGATCTGTAGTCTCTGTGTCTCGTTGAACGCTGATCTCTGTTCTTCTATGTTTTGGACCAAAACCAAAAGACTGTGTATTTGCTAGTGGAAACTCTGACTCACGCACTAATTTAAATTACGGACAAATCGCTGGTGACTTTAGTAAACTAGAGTCAGGAGGCGACAGAGATGTCAAGCTGTGGCTCATCTGCATAAATACGGTAGAAGATGTTATGATATTTTGTAAAGTGAGCTACAGATAGTTCATAGATGTGAAATAAAAGAGCTGCTCCTTCAGGAACCCCACATTTTACTGTTCTTGTCCTGTGATGCTGTGGGCCTGTTTCTTTTTCGATGGTCCATGAGGATCTTGTTAGAGTGCGTGACATTATGTGTCCTGTGAAATATCTGGACATTTTAAACAAAGTGCTGGTTAAACTTTGCCAGTAAACAGAAAATGGACACCAAGTTTGGCTGAGTCTCTATATAAATCCCTTTAATGCTCCATTCAAACATGGCGCCGTCTATAAGAGCTACAACAAGTGAAAATGTTACTCAGTATTTGTTTTAAGCTTCTAATTTTGGCCAAATGTTAAACACTGATGAAGCAAATTAAGCAACCAGTCAAATTGGTAAAAAAAATTTAATTAAGCTGTGAAAGGTCATGTGACCTTTCAGCACATGACCTGTCTAAGAAAAATTATCTTTAGCTTGATTAAAAATCCTCGAAAAGGTTTAACCTGCAGAAAAAAAGAAAAGTGGATTCAGAATGAAAAAAAGAAGCTCATAAAGCAAACCAGAGTTTGATGAAATGAGGTTTCTTCCTTCTACATGCAAAACCGACGAGTTTTCAAAGTGATCCAAAATTCCACCCAGTCAGTTTGGTGACAAGCTCATAGAGAGCTCTCAGAACAAAGAACCAGATGTTTCCACTATTTTAATACAAATAGGTTAAAGACTTTCTCCATACATAGGTTTTAAATATGCAGCATAACATGTGAAAAACTGTTATGCTGGAATAAAAGATTCCATATGAGCAAACTGATGAACCCTTCAGAACTGCAGGGCAACATGAACTAAAATGATATTCACCCAAATGTTTTGGCTTTACTTCGCACTTTTATGCATATCCCAGTATTTAAAGTCTGTTCCTAATCTCTGTCTTAATGTTCATCCCTACAGTATAATGCAGTGGTGAACCATATCTCTGACAGAATAAAAACAACAAACCTTATATTTCTCCAGTTCCTTCCACTGGTAAAAAGCTGAAGTTAAGCAGCAGTTTGGCTGTTCGTCCATCCTCCTCCTACCACTTCCTGTCTTAGTGTTTTCCACCAGTTATCAGGTTGTTGATCATGTGTCTGGTGTGATGCGAAAAAAGTATTTCCATTGCAGTTTTTGTGAAATACATTAATTTCAATACTGCCAAAAAAACCCCACCTCATCCTAGCGCCAAAACTTTTTATTGTAAAACGCGTTTTTTTTTTTTTTTTTTTTTTTCAAAATTGGTGTTTCCTTTAAGCAACTTTAAGGTCAATAGGAACGCAGCTTTCAAACAGTGACTTCCTGGTGGTGGTGGTGGTGGTGGTGGGGGAGGGGGCACAGGGACCCACTTCAGGTCA